TTTAACACAGGTGGAAAGCTGCACAGGGTGGGACGGACCCAGGCTGCCACACCCTGGTCTAACACCACCAATTTAGGGGAGTGTTTAGGTGGGATGCTTGACAGAGAGTAGGCAGCTGTTTTGGGCCTACAGAATAGCAAGGAGGCAATCCTAGGGGAGGCTTGGTGGGGTTGGGGAACCAAGGGCCAGGAGGGGCTCAGTTTCAGGACAGGGCATAGGAGAGTGAACAGAGGAGGTGGGGCGGGTGGGAGCAAGCTGGCCGACAGCCCTGGCAGCAAGGGATTAACCTCAGGAGTAAGAGGCAGTGGAGGGTGGGAAGAAGAAAAATTAGCAAGGGACAGCAGCAGAATGTTCACTCATGGGACCCACAGGGATACACTTAAAGCCAGAGGAGGCTTAGCTCTCCCGTCACCTGAGTGAGGGGCAGAGCGGCTGGGCAGCAGTGGATTCAGCCACAGACAAACTGAGGCTCGGACAGGGAGGGACAGGGAGAGGAGGGGTCAGGACGGCAGGCGTCAGCTTCACCATGGAGGGGGCAGGCAGAGGACGTGGGGACGGCACACAGGTCTTGCTGGGCACGTGGGTCTGCCCATGGCTGTGAAAACTTAACAACCCATTCACTGGTAAATGCTTCCAGCAATTTGGTGATCTTCTAAGTCAGAAATTACAGAAGGCATTGTTAGCTCATGTATCAGCAATCACTGTGAATTTCAGCATCCAGGCAAACGACTAAGTCTCCTTGGCAACCATACGCTAATTTCATTAATTTATAACCGTTCACCTCAGATCCAAGCAGGAGACTACGTCCCTCAATGCGCAGAAATCTACACACCAAACAAGGGGAATTTCAACACTATGGTTTGATTTATAAAATCGTATTTGGAAAAAAGCAATTTAAGAAGGTTTTTTTTTTCCCCCATGTCATGGTACATTTGACCCGACATTACAACAGGGCACGGGCCTCAGAGAAAAGATGCTGCCCCAGTGAACACAGAGTGGAGCCAGGACCCGCACCCAGCAGTGGTCCCCCGGTACCAGACGGCCGCCACGGCAGGGGCCTCGCAGCCCAGGCATCAGTCTGTCTCATCACTGCAGTCCACTTACAACCAAACTTTGTCATTTCAATCGCTGAACCCATGGAAAGGCGTCTGAGACCAGGAAATACTCTTGTTATTAATTCCACTCCTCAGTGAAGGGGGAAAAGAGGCAGGGTAATTTCCAGGCTGCGGGGGTGGGCGCTGGGGAAGACGCAGCAATTTCCAGACCCCGCCTTACAACTCTGAAGAACACCGGCGTGCTGACAGTGCGAGATTTAGACTGCAAAGACAAAGCACCAGACAGGCCAGCGTCTTCCTCTGCATGTGTCACCTTTATCGAACGTTTCAGATACAAAACGGACAACGCATGACCGGGTTTGTAGACGACGTTGAGTTGGAGAGCCTTCACCACCTAACAAATGTTCACGCACGACTTGTGCTATAGGATATAGAAACTCTATCCAAAGTTCGGGTCTTGGCCTTGAAGTCTGAGTTATAAGCTCGCAGACACTGGCTCAGGAGCTCTCAGAGCCACGGCTGGCTGGCTGACTCTTCGTGCCATCCAGACGCACAGGCACTGCTGCTTGGTTTCCAGAGGAGAACGGGAGACACAGAGAGGTTACGTGAACTGCCCAGCACCGCAGGGCCAGGAACGGGGGCCAGGAGCGGGGGCCAGGGTCGGGGGCCAGGGTCAGGCCTTTCTTTCAGCTGTGTCCACAGGCACGGACACACTCATTCAGCAAACCTGGATTTCAGAAACTACACAACAGTCCACTGCCAGATGCCATCCCCTGTGCTCTGCTCAGTGGGCTAATACTTGGAATCAGTTTATAATAAAACTTCTGTGATTTCTATCCCCAAATCCCCACCAAATGACATCCAAGAGTGGCTGACATGTGAGACCTGGAGGAAGCTCCTGGCTCCTGACTTTGGATTGACTCAGCTCTGGCCGTTGTGGCCACTTGCGGAGTGAACCAGCAGACAGAAGATCGACCAACCCCTCCCTCCCTCCCTCCTTCTCTGTCTATAACTCTAGCTCTCGAATAAATAAATAAATCTTAAAAAAAAAAAAAGAGTCCTCATTCTGAGGACACTCTCAGAGGACTTTGGAGACATTTTTTCCGGACCTCAGAATAAATGTTTAGGTGTGGGCATTTAGCTGAGCACTTGAAGTGCTGGCCAGGACGCCCGGGTCCCTAGCAGATGCCCTGCATCTGGTACCGGGCTCTGGCTCTGGCTCCTTGCTAATGCAGACCCCGGGAGGCAGCAGTGTGGGCTCAGGCACTGGGTCTCCATCACTCGCTGAGCCCCGGCCAGCCCCAGCCACCGGAGGCATCTGAGAACTGAACCAGCAGGTGGGAGAGCGCTTTCTCTCCCCCTCTTCAAACAAATAAATAAATCAACTTCTGAAGATTGAAACCATGCACACTCACACACACTGAAATAGATCTATCACCCTTGAAAGTAATTAATGCGAAGATTATCATATCATGAGAGACAGGAGGTGGGCCACTTCATAGAAAATAGAATCCTTCAAAAATTTGGAGTTAACAATTTTCAGAACACTTCAATAGTTAAAGGTTTTATTTAGTAAAGGTTATTTTTCAACAAAAGCAAATCCATGTGAACATGCTGATTTGTCTGTATTTGGATTGTTTTTTATTTTTAGATTAAGTTATGATTTTTTTAAATCAACATTTATCTATTTGCTTGAAAGTGAGAGTTAAAATTGAGAGAGGAAGAGACAGAGATCTTCCATCTGATGGTTCACTCCCCCGATGGCCACAGGAGCCACAGCTGAGCCAGGATGATGCCAGGAGTCACAAGCTTCCTCCAGGTCTCCCACGTGGTTGGCAGGGCCCCAAGCACTTGGGCCACCTTCTACTGCTTTCCCAGGCCATTAGCAGACAGCTAGACCAGAAGTGGAGCAGCCAGGACAAGAACTGGTGCCCCTATGGGATGCTGGCATCACGGACAGTGGCTTCACTCACTACACCATGATGCTGGCCCCGTGCTCTGATTTTTTTTTTTTTTAAGATTGAATGATTGATTGATTTGAAAGATGGAAGGACAGAGAAAGAGGAGACAGAGAGAGAGAGAGATCAGGTAGGATTTTCAGAAACCACCTTTATTGCATAATTCCTAAACAGTGTAAGCACAACAAACATGCGGAGACACACTGCTGAAGACAAATCATTTCATCATGTCGCTATAGTAACTGCATCAGAGATGTAAACAACTGAGGGGCGCTGTGAACATGCGGTGCACAACAGGGAGGAAACAGCGAGCGCATGTGACGGGAAGGGGGACTGGCTCAAGTCTGTTCTCTCCAAGCGCAATGCAAACATGAGTTAGTCAATGTAACTGACCTTGCGGTGTTCTTCATTCTGAATATCTGTTCAAACTCAGACCAAACAGCCTCAGTTTTTAGACACATTAAATGCTTATAGGTGACAACACTTTTTAATGAAAATCCTTTCAGAAACTCTGCTGCTTATAGGAGTGTTTGCTTCTGTTCTTACAGGCTATACGCTGCAAGTCTATTAGTGGGCAATACAAGAAATATACAAAATAAGATACACTTGTAATGGCAATCCAACAAATAACCCAGCTGAACTCAATGCCCGTTTTCCGGGCATCTGTGATGGACAGCATCATACCGGACAAGGCGGGGAGAGACGGCACAAAGGCTGCCCTGCAGGGCTGGCGGTGACTGGCAGGCACGGCGTGCAGGCAGCTGCCCTGTGGGGGCGGGGGAGCTCCAGGCAGGGGAGCGGGCACCCTGGACACCTGAGCAAGGCCACTCTACTCCATGGGCATGGGTGGGGGCAAGAGGACATGTGGAAAGCCTGCTGGGAGGCGGGGCCAGAGCCCAGGGGGACAAGCAGGCTGCGACAGGCACAGAGGAGGTGAACAAAGGCATCTGGCCCCAGGCCGGGGCAGCCCAGGTGAAGGCCCGGGGGAGGCAGCTGCGGGCTGGGAGCCCACGTGGGGCTGGGGTCTGCGGCGGGGAGCAGTGGGACACCAAAGCCCGTGCTAAGCAGAGAAGCCACTTCGATTCCCAGAAGTCACCACCTAAGGCGGAATCGAGGAGGGACATCGTTTCCCAAAATGCCTTCCCAACTTCGGCACACGGGTGGCTTCTCTCCTTGCAAACTAGCACGGCCCGCGTCAGCCTCCTTCGCAGCCTGCTGCAGATGATGTCTGCCGAGGCCCCGGCGGATCGTGAGCAGCTGGCCACTGACGACTGCGGCACCCGACACAGCAGTGGCTCGGGTGACTCACTGGAGGCTGCACCGTGGGCTGGGGACTGCCTCGGATCAGTGGTCCGGGCTGTCCCCGTCCGGGGGGTGTCGAGCACTCGAGATGCACTTGGGCTGCCTCTGCTTCTTGCCCTGTGCACTGTGGGGTGGTCGCTCTGCGCAGCTCCCGGTGCACGTCTTGTCCAAGGCCCCAGAGCACAGCCCAGGCGCCGTGATGGGAGGCCAGGCCCCCGGTAACCGTGTCACCTAGGAATCACACCGTCTCGTGGGGGGCCGAGCCGGAAGTGCTGATGAAAAATGGGAAGAGGAGGCAGCTGCTCTCACTGCGGACATGGTCCCCGTGCTTATGTGAGAGGGCGGTGAGGAGTGCAAGCTTGTCCCGGGCCTTTGCCTGGACGTCGTCACCTCCCTGCACTGCCACTCCCACCGGCCAGACGGACCCATCCTCCCGGGCACTGCAGAGGATGTCGGCTCCGCTGAGGAGGAGGGTCCAGCCGGAGGGCGCCTTGTGCTGCACTATGAGTGTGTGGCTGTGTTTCATGGCCCCTGGAAAGAAACAGCACAGAGGTGGCCCTCAACCACAGCGTGGGCCAAGGCCGTGGGGGCCTGCGTGGACAGCCCCAGTCACGTGGCTGACCAGGCCTGCTCCGGAGCGCCTGCACAGGTCGCCGAGGCCGCAGCCTGTTAGACGCGGACTTACCTTGGCGGATGAAGGTCTGGCTGGTGTCCAGCAAAATGTCACAGCCCTCCACGATCATCCTCTCTATGGCAAGGTTCTTCCTGATGTTCTCGGTGTCACTCACCTCGTCGTGCATGACCCTGCACACAGGACACACGAGGATCAGAGGGGCGGGTGCATCGCCCTAGCGGGGTAGGCAGACGAGCTCCACCGGACACTTGGCTTTGCTCAACTTCTGCTTCAGAAGGTTTGTGGATGAGTGGAATTAAAGGATACGCATATCTGAAGGCAAGGGAACCTGTGCGATCCGTGCACACTGTTATTCACAACACGTTTTCTAGGATCAAATCACTGTGAATGGCGACTCGGCCTCTCTCCACCTGGCACCCGAGGAGCTGGGCTTTGGTCCTGCTCCTCGTCGCCTGGGCGTCTACACGAGGCGTCCACAGAGACTGGCTGGCTCCCTCCCCCCGCCCCGGGCCTGGATGGCAAGTCCTCCGCTTACCTGGACAGCTCCTCCAGCTTCGACTTGGCGAACTCAAGACTCTTCCTCTCCACGTGTTCGTGGGGCGTGTGGGCCAGCAGCTCGTGCAGCGTGATGATGTACCTGGGGATCTGAAGCACACGGCAGTGGCGTGAGCCACAGGCCAGGATGGGCAGCACGGGACGTCGCGCAGCGCCACCTCACGCCCAGAAGCGGCTCCCCTGGCGGCTCTGACTGTTTTACAGGAACTGACAACGGCAGGTACTGACGGTGAGTTACAGGGATCCGGCACGTGCATTTTCTCCTGACTGACCAAGCAGTGCTGTGTAGAAAGCAGGATCTGTGGGTCTGGTTTACCAAGGACACGCATGGACAGCAGCTGCTGCAGCACTGCCCCTGTGGGCCGGAGAGCACTGGGGCTTGGCCCACCACGAGCCCAGTGCTAACGCAGCTGCTTGCCTCTCCATTGAGGTAAGGAAATAGAGTGCCTAGGCTCAGGAGCTCGCCCAAGGTGGCCTCCCAGTAGATGCCAGGCCCTGACCTGCCTTGCAGCCCACCTGCCAGGTCTCCCGTGTGGAGACCAGCATCTCACCCAGCACCTGCAAGGCTCTCAGAACGAGGACTGAGGACAGTGAAAGTCCAACTACTTGAGGCCCGCACTGTGGCTCAGCAGGGAAAGTCGCTGCCTGTGACTCCGGCATCCCATATGGGCACTAGTTCAAGCCCTGACTGTTCCACTTCTGATCTAGCTCCCTGCCAATGGTCTGGGAAAAGCAGCAGCAGAAGTCACAATGTTTGGGCCCCTGCCACCCATGTGGGAGACCCGGATGAAGCTCCTGTCCCAGGCCCAGCCATTGCAGCCATCCGGGGAGAAACCCAGCAAACGTCAGATCTCTGCCTCTCTCTGTAATTCAGACTTTGAATTCACTAAATAAATCTGTTCTGCCCTGGAGGGGTGGTGACTCTGCCTACTGGCTGCTCGGGCTCTCCCGCAGGCGGGCCACTTGCTAATATCCACTGAGGAATGGTGCGAGCTGCGGCGCCCACCCTCGCACCGCCTCCTAGGCAGGGTCACAAGCCCTCTCTCCCCTGGCTCTTCATCCCATAAACCTCTCAGTGACACAGCCTTTAGGGCCACCCCATTTGGCAAAGATTCCAGACACAGATGTGCTCATAAATATTCCTTTGGTTGGCACAACCCCATAGCAATAAAAGTTCGCCTCCAAGTTAGTTCCACAAGCAAAGCAAAGCAAAGCCAAGCAACCAACAGGAGGCCCTTGGTTCTCCATTACAGAGGGGGCAGGAGAGGCAGCACAGGACTGCTGACAAGGCACAGAGAACCCGCAGAACCCAGGCGGGTCAGCGGTGTCAGGACCCTCCCGCATGACTGAGTTTGGCTGGAAAGAGCTCCGGGCTGGCATTCGGGACGCTGGATTCGAATACAGGAACCAGTGCAGGAATGAACCAGGACAAAACCTCCCGAAAAGCAGGCCGAGGAAGCTCTGCAGGCAGCAGACAGCCCTTCAGAGCGCAGCTCCGCGTTCAGACGCTGACGGTGAGTCTGGCCCCAAATCCTAAGGCTCAGAGCAACTGCGTGGAGGAGCCACGCTTCTGCCTCCAGGGACGGGTGGAACCTGGCCACTGTCGTGGGAGTGGACTGGACACTGGTCAACTGCAGCCTACCAAGGGAAGGAGCACTTCCTCCTGCTGTCTGCTCAGGGACGGATCCGTGCCCGGCTCACCTGCGGACTTCACGGCTTACACAGCCAGTTTCAACACCACTGGCCAAGCTACCGTCAGAGCCGAACAAACACTAGGCCAGCGTGGTGGCCCCCTGGGTTAAGCCACTGCCTATGGCGCCAGCGTCGCATGTGGGAGCGCCACTCTGCTTCTGATCCAGCTCCCTGCTGATGGGCCTGGGAAGGCAGCAGAAGACGGCCAAGCGCTTGGGCCCCTGCACCCAGAAGGGAGGCTCAGGGGGCGTTCCTGGCTCCTGGATTCAGGCTGGCCTGGCCCCAGCTCTTGTGGCCATTTGGGGAGTAAACCAGCAGATGGAAGACCTTCCTTGCTGTCTTTCTCTCTCTCTCTGCCCTCCAAACATAAATAAATATATTTTAAAAATATTTTTTAAAAGTTTGGTTCATGACCACATTCATTCCCAAAGGAAACTTCTTGGCAACACTTGCCCCGAACTGGTCCGATAGCCTGGCTGGGGATCATTTCACTACATCGTCCGTAACACGACATTCTTCCATGTTTCCAGAGTTCAACACATCCCAGCACAGCAGCAATCCATCTCCTCAAGACACAGCAGGAGTAAGAACACATTCACCTTCCCCCCCACCACCCCCCAGCTGCCAGGCACCTCTCCTCTTCTGCCTCTAGACCCACCTCTGCCCCAGTATCCAGGCGCAAGCAAAACTCCAGGCTAGAAGCCCCTCAGCAGTGTAAACTAGGGCCACTTCTTCCACTGTGGCCTATGGCAAGGATGTGGAGTGTCCTGGCCTCACCCCAGGGAGACACAAGAGGGGCAGAGGTGGCCCTGATGGCACTGTCTGCAGAGGGAAGCAGACAGGTGCATCCCACACCTGCTGAGGCAGCAGACGCCGTCAGGACTACCTCACCCCACTGGTCAAAGGACCACAAGGGAAGCAGGAGAGGGCGAACCGTGGAAGGAAACCCTCAGGTTTCTAGAAAGGGCAACCTCCCCCACCCCCAAGGCGTCCATGATTTCTCAGGCAAAGGCAGGAGGGAGTGATGCCAAGAGAAGAGGCAGAGAGAAGAGGTTGCTCCCGGAACAATGGCTCTTCCAAGCTGGGGCCTGCAGAAGCCAGCAACACCCGTCGGTACCTGACTCTACAGCTCAGTTCCAGACTGTGCGGTCACCAGAGTGACCATATTTCTGCAAACCTTCTAATTTGTACACCTGCTAGAGGAGGAGACTCCATGAGAGAGGTCTGCGTGGAATCTTTCTAAAAGAGAGAACCATGGTGCTTTTAAAAAAAAATCATTCCTGCATGATCTCAAAAGTGGCACGGCAGCCCAGGGCCACACGCAAGCCACCCATGATGCATCTGCGCCGTGACCCTCATGGAGCCCAGGTGGCAGTCACCGGGAGCTCAGGACACGCGCCGGGGCTGCCTCACCTGGAACATGGGGTAGGTGAGGAAGGTCTCCAGCATCCTCCCCTCGCAGGCAGGGTTGGCTTCGTACTGCTTCAGGAGTTTGTCAAAGTCTCTGTTCTGCTTACAGTTGGCAAGGACTTGGAGGCTGTACTGGTGATTGCGCACAAATTCTTGATAAATATTCAGCATGGGGAGCAAAATATCAAACAGATCAGCTGGGGGGAAAAAAAGAAGCAAGAATGGCCGTTTTCCTTGGTAACTGGTAAATTATCCACACTCCACAGGGACAGCTAAGAGTGGCGCCACACACACACAGGACCCGGTGCCACACACACACACACGGGGCCACCAGCCTGTTGCCCGAATGATGGGCTGGGTAAGCCGACTCCTTCCCTCCAGCCCCAAGCCAACTGTGACGACCCAGAAGAGGGGACAGGTGAGCAGCAGAGTGGGACCCAGAGGACAGAAGGGCAGATTCCCAGAGGCGAAGGCAGCACTCGGGGCAGCGGCCGTGCAGACAGCGAGGGCTGAATGACGCAGTCCTCATCTCACTCCTCAATGCAGCCTTTCTTGGGGGCGGGGGGGGGGGGTGGACACTGACTCTCAGAAGAACGCACTCACCCAAGATTAAAGTGGGCCAGTTGGCGATCCTTGCCTTCAGGCCTTGGTGAAAGATTTCATGGAGAAACATGATCGTCTCACTATAGAAAACGGAAGACATGCTTTAGTCACCGTACAGCACTGACTTTGTAGAATCAGTTCACTGACTGCTCAGAGCCTGAACACACACGACAGACACATCTCAGGGCCTCCAACCCGTACCCTGGTGACAACACGAGTTAGGCTAACCTCCATAAAATAGCGTAGCTGCTACAGAGCCCAGAAACCTCTCAGACGAGCTTCCCATGTTGGAGAGCATCAGATCACGGTCCTAAACCCTCCCCATCAGTGTCCAGGAGGGTGTTCTGTCCCAGTGTGCACTTCAGCTGCCGGGAAGAAGGCTAACGCAGGATTCCTTTTCTTTTCAAACCTCATCGCAGACAACTCAGTGAGAGAAGTTCTTTCACCAAAATGAGTTTTGACACAAGAGTTGGGAGGACATGAGAGCAACATGTTGACAGGGCTCTACAATTATCCCTCATTTCAAGGCAGACATGTCCAAGAATCTTCTTTAGAGAGATGCGAAGGGGCTGGCAATGTGGCACGATGGGTTAAAGCACTGTTTACAAACAATGTCTGCATCTCATATCGGAGCGCTGGTTCCAGGCCAGGCTGTTCTGTTTCTGATCTAGCGTCCTGGGAAACAGCGGATGATGGCCCAAGTCGTTGGGCACCTGCACCTCACACCGAAGACCCTGGTGGGGTTCCTGGCTCCTGGCTTCCCCATGGCCCAGACTGGCTGTTGCAGCCATTTGCAGAGTGAACCAGCAGAGGGAAGATTCACATTCAACCACTCTCTCCCTCTCGCTCTCCCTCTCCCCCACTCCTTTCATTACCCCCCTTTCTCTTTCCCTCTGTGTCATGCTGAATATATATATATATATATATATATATATATATAAATCTTTAAAAACAAAGAGATACCAAAATGAGGGCTATGTGTAAATTAGAGAAATCAGTTTGTAAAAGGGTTATAATGGTAGCTGCCAAAGTCAAAATATCTTCTGCTTTCTCCTTATTAGAATGAACTGATTGCAATGAGCCTTTGAAGTCTCTTGTGGACTACACATGGGCACCGTCAAATACAGATTTATTCACCTCACTGACATGCTTTGGTTCACTGTCAGTCAAATTTCATTAAAACAGTCATCAACAAGAATTCCTTACTACTCCCCAGTGGTCCACGAGATAAAAGGCATTGCTTGGGGACTGCAATTTGTTTATCTTTCTTAGAAAAGCAGCTACGCAGTACTTATGATTCAAGGGTTTCAACCAGCTCTAGTTTGGTAGGTGTTACACATCAGTCCGTCCATCTGCACGCCACCCTCCTTCCAGGTGGAGAGGGTGAACAGCTACAGCTACATTTCCCAGACTCCTTTGCAGCTATGGTCTGAATGTAAATCCCATTCCAGCAACAGATGCACTTGGCAAGCCATGGAGGGCCGAAGAGGCCATCTCCTGCTCCTGAGAGCCAGCCATGCAGATGTGAGTCTTAGGGTGATTTCCACACGCAGTCAGCCCCAGACTTGGTTTCTAGGAACCAGCTTCATGGGTTACAGGGACAGCTATGGCAGCTGTGGCAGTGGCAGCAATTTCTGCATATATTTACCCAATATAATACTACAATAAAAACAGGGAGATTTCACTGTCTTAAGTATAAAACTTGTACTGCAATAAAAAATAACTGACCCGCCTAGAGTTTCTCTTTCAAAGGCAACAACAGTGATGACAGCATCACCATTAAAGCCTCTTCAACCCATACTTCTTCAAACCCAGCCTAGAACTAAGTGTGGCACACGACTGCCAGTCTCATGAGCGCGAAGGCCTCACCATCCGGAAAAAGCTCCACACCTTGACTGTGAATTCAATCAACAGCAGAAACCTGGCCTTCTGGAAACCCAGAGAAAGCAAATCACCAGAGGCAGCTCTAAACCAGTGTGGCAGCAGGAGACGGTGACAGGAGACGGTGACAGCAGGAGCTGGAGGCAGCAAGAGATGGTGGCAGGAGACAGTGACGGCAGGAGACGGTGGCAGGAGACGGTGGCAGCAGGAGATGGTGGCAGCAGGAGACGGTGACAGGAGACGGTGACAGCAGGAGATGGTGGCAGCAGGAGATGGTGGCAGGAGACAGTGACGGCA